TTCAAAGTTGCGCTAATTTTGGCCCACCCTGTATAAAGCTTACAAATAACAGGTACGCAAACAGTTGCGTTTCAGACGCGTGGAAAGTTCATCAAGTTCAAATTCCCGCGTCAGGTTTAGCGAGTTTAAGCTACTTTCAGCTCCTAATTGCGGTCTCCCCTTCGACCTGGCTTTGATGCCCTCCATCCCGTGCCCCTATATATCAGCCCGCCGACCCTTTCGAGTGGCGTGCGGACTGGTTATGGACTGGTTAGTCGATGCACCGCTGCCGCCAGTGGACTCTTCGGCGCCTCACGCTACCCTCGTTCCAGACTCTGTGGCGCCCATTTTCATCCCTTTCTCTCCTCCATCTTCCTTCTTTATCCCCTCTCGCTCTCCTCCACCCTCCTCTCGCATTAAAAACGGGTGGCGCGCGTCCACGAAACGCGAGACCTTGTCGAATAATTGATACGCGCCCTTATACAACCGATAAAATCGATTTCCTCTTCGGGATTCAATTCCGCCTATCGAGAATTCGAACCATCGTACGTCGACGAAGAGAGAGAGAGAGAGAGAGAAAAAAAAAGACCAGATCGTTACGATACACGACAAATTGGTTCATTTTTAACGTGGAAGATACGGTTGATAAATTCATACCCGCCACGGAATATCGCGCCGCGTTACGCGGAAATTACCCCCACGACCCGTTATTTTATCATTCGTGTCTCTTCTATAGAGCGATCGACTGATCCGACCCCCCTGTCCCACCCCCTAATGGTTGGACGAAGGTAGGAAACGTAGGTCTTTTCGAGCTCGTGTCACGACACGGTCTGGTCACGCACGCTTGCTTGTTTTCTTGCCCGCTCGTTGAAAACATCACGGTGCTGGTAAAAATAAATCTTGCTTTAAGGAGAAACGGTCCATGGTCGCGCGTATATTTCTTCCCGATTTTTAAAACGGGTGGAATGATTGAAGGGGAGGAGGTGGGTTCGGAGCAAATTTGTTGACGAGATATGGCGAAACTATTTTTTCTTTTTTTTTTTTTTTTTTTTTTTTTTCAAGGCGAGCCAATGGCGGTATTTCATATTTAGATTTTTTTATTTTCTTTTTTTTTCCTTTTTTTTTTTTTATCATTTCCACGAGAGATTGAAATCGTTTGATCAAATGGTTTTGTCCGTGGATCCGAATGGATCGCGCTACACGGCGGGAATTGATCGAGTTATCGAGACGAGAATGTTTCCGGTTGTTCGACAGGGCAGGAAATTGCTTCCATGTTTTTTACGAAAAATTCACACCGTCATCAACCGGGCCGAGGCGAGCAAACAACATTGTCAAAGGGAACAAATTTGTCTGGAAAGAGTCGGCCGCATTAATATTCATCATTGATCGAATACCGCGAAAAATACGAAGAAAAATATAACGCGTCGACGTCCCCCAAGGAATTGAATTATTAAAATCATTTGCACCGATAAAATTTAATGGAAAAATTTTCTTATCGAGCTTTGCGATTCCATTTTCGTATTCCTAAAAATGTAAACGTATTTATTCACGATTTTTTCTAATCGAGAAAAAAACGATACATTATCGAGCGCAACGATCGAAATTTTTCACACTCTTCGCCTTCACGCGCGTTCTCGATTTTTCGAATTTTCACATTTCTGCGTCGATAGTTTTTTGTTCACCTTTCTACATCCGACGTTCGTTAAAAATTCACGTTCTCCCGGAGAATTGGAGATTCTGGCCGAGATTAAAAAGCGTGAATCGAACGCTTAGACTTTCGCGAAATTGGAAAATCGCGAAGCAGCGATCTCGCGAAAACTCGTCCGGTTAAAAAAAGATCGATCCGGTTCCCGTTAACGAAGCGATCGCCGACAATCCCGTATTCCATATTCGATATTTCTCGTGACGCGAGTTTCGTGCCTCGTGATTCTTTAACGAGCCGCGAAACCAACCTCCTCCACCCGCCTTCGCTACGCTCCTCTTGCGCTTTTCCCTGTCGCCTCTTCTCCCCCATCGCCGCAATGAAATCGAAACGGCGAATCGCGCGCGCACGGGTCGCTGGTCACCCTTCGAATCGCCTCCCGGTAAATTATTTACGTCGCGTGCCGTCGACTATCGATTCGTCGTCCTGTCCGCTCGTTCTCCTCCTTCCTCCCCCTTTTTTTTTCTTTTTTTCCTCCCTCTCTCTCTCTCTCTCTCTTTCTATCGACATTTTGTCGTCCCTCCAATTTCCATGCTCGAAAAATTGATCGAGGATACGAGGATCTAATCGGTGAGATCTCTGGAAAAGATCATATATATGTTTTTATATATCGTTTTCTTATTATTTCGCAGTAGAGTTTCGAACTCTTTACTATTTCGTTGTCTCTCCAATTTTCGAAAATTGATCGAGAATACGAGGATCTAATCGGTGAGATCTCTGGAAAAGATCATATATATATTTTTATATATCGTTTTCTTATTATTTCGCAGTAGAGTTTCGAACTCTCATTTCGTCGTCTCTCCAATTTTTGAAAATTGATCGAGGATCTAATCAAAGGAGGTTTCTGAAAAGGATCATATATATTGTTATATATCGTTTTCTTATTATTTTGCAGTAGAGTTTCGAACTCTTTATCGACATTTCTCTCCAATTTCGTCGTCGAAAACTTTGAGGATACTTTGAGGATCTAATCGATGAAATCTCTGGAAAAAATCATATATATTTTTATATATCGTTTTCTTATTATTTCACAGTAGAGTTTCGAACTCTCTATCGACATTTCGTCTTCTTTCCAATTTTCACGTTCATCGAAAAGTTGATCGAGGATACAAGGATCTAATCGATGAGATCTCTGGAAAAGATCATATATATTTTTACATATCGTTTTCTTATTATTTCTTATTATTTAAAGTTTCGAACTCTCTATCATTTCGTCGTCTCTCCAATTTTTGAAAATTGATCGAGGATACGAGGATCTAATCAAAGGAGGTTTCTGAAAAGAATCATATATCTTGTTACATATCGTTTTTTTATTATTTCGCAGTAGAGTTTCGAACTCTTTACCGACATTTCTCTCCAATTTCCATGTTCGTCGTCGAAAATTTGATCGAGGATAGATCATATATATTTTTATATATCGTTTCCTTATTATTTCACAGTAGAGTTTCGAACTCTTTACCGAAATTTCTCTCCAATTTCCATGCTCGTCATCGAAAAAGTAATCGAGGATAGGAGGATCTAATCGATGAGGTCTCTGGAAAATCATCATATATATCGTTTCTTTACTATTTCGCAATAGAGTTTCGAATTCTCTACCGACATTTCGTCGTCTCTCCAATTTCCACGCTCGAAAAATTGATCGAAGATACGAGGATCTAATCGATGAGGTCTCTGGAAAATCATCATATATATCGTTTCTTTACTATTTCGCAGTAAAGTTTCGAACTCTCTACCGACATTTCGTCGTCTCTCCAATTTCCACGCTCATCGAAAATTTGATCGAGGATAGAAGGATCTAATCGACGAAGTTTCTGGAAAGGATCATATATATTGTTACATATCGTTTCCTTACTATTTAGCGGTAGAGTTTCAAACTCTTTACCAACATTTCGTCGTCTCTCCAATTTTTGAAAAATTGATCGAGGATACGAGGATCTAATCGGAGGAGATTTCTGGAAAGGATCATATAAGTAGTTACATATTTCGTCGTTACTATTTTTTTTATTTCGCGGTAGAGTTTCGAAGTAGGGTAATTTCTTCTCTTTTTTTTTTTTTTTTTCCTTTTAAAGAGGACGAATGAATTTTATAGTCATAAGTAATAAGTTTATCGGTCTCGCGAGATTGCCAGAATTGCAAGATTTTTATGCGGTTTATAGCCGGTGATACGACGCTCTCGGCGGTCGGAAGGAAGCAATTTCGAGGCCCTAATTGCGCCATGAATCTTGACGACTCGGGGACCGGCGCGCCTCCAAAGATTCCATACCGAAGGAAATATCGTTTGCTCCGCTCTGAATTAATAGGCGAGGGTCGCGATATAAATGCTTCCGGGGTGAAATAGATACGCGTTTTCGTCCGATCGTGAGAAAATTCCCAATCATCCCTGACCCTTTTTAGATTTATATTCTATTCTAAAAACATCCTTATACATATACATCCAAAAATCATCCATTTATCATACCACATATGAACGTTCGATTTCTAATATTTTACATCGTTCCAAAAAGATTCTTCCCTTAATTAATTCGTATTATAATTGGAAAATAACAATCATCATGGATAATGGAACAGAAATTCCAAGCCAGAAAATACGTACTCGACGTAACATATGATATATAATCGTCGCTTCATAAAATAATTGGAATCATCTTCAATTTGAAAAAAAACGAAAAACGAGAAAGAAGATCGAGACGAGAGAAATTCCTTGCTCCAACGGAGGAGGAACGAAACCTGTTACGTCCAAACCTTTCGAGATCGACGAACGTGGAACAAAATTCAGGGATAGATCGGATAGATCGTTTAATCACAAACGTGCCCGAGTTACATCGGTTTCCCATGCCGTCCACGTCATTAAACCGAGCGAGCCGATTTAACGGACAATGAATTGCATAACGTTCAGCCTCCCTCCCCCTCCCCCCTTCTACCCCGCAAACAAACGGTAACAGGAATACGAAGCATGTTTATAGGTTTATTACGAATTGCGGTCCGCGTCGTCGGTGTTGTTTCCGGGACGCGTGTTGAAAATCGAGGGGGAACGTGGTTTCCCTCCTCCTCCCCTCCACAGGTGAACTCGAGAACACGTGACGCGGCCCTCGAATTACCGTTCTGTTGCTTTTTTTTTTTTTTTTTTTTTTTTTTT